GTTGTTATTTCATGAATCAATTTACATAAGCCTATCTTAATTGAAATTTATTTTCTAGAAGCCGATTATTACCAAATTCAGAATGAAACCTTACGAACTGATTGTGATTTGTATTCTACTAGCGAGTACATCTTGGGCAGCTGAAAATTACGACGACATACCGGCTGATTGTACTCTAACTGGTAATTCCTTGGATCCTCTAGCTTCAATAGTATCCAATTGTACAGAGATTTTGGTAAAGGATTTCGAAGTGCCTGCTGGTCGTAATTTAACCATAGAACCACAAGATGGTACCACAATAGTATTTTCTGGACGCATTACTGTTGGTTACAAAGAAATGGAGGGGTTCCTTATTATAATTAGGGGTAACAATCTGACAGTTATCGGAGCTCCAGGACATATTTTGGATTGTGATGGAGCTAGATGGTGGGATGGACTTGGTGGAGGGGGCGGGAAACTAAAACCAAGGTTCTTTAGGATTCAAAGGGTCACCAATTCAATTTTTAAAGACCTAAATATTAAAAATACGCCCACCCAGTGCTTCTCAATTAATGGCTGCGAGAATGTGACCTTAACAAATATCACCATAGATGATTCGGATGGCGATACACAAGGAGGTCACAACACTGATGCTTTTGACACGTCAGCATCAAAAAGGGTTACAATAATGAATTCTCGTATTTTTAATCAAGATGACTGCCTTGCTATCAATTCCGGAAGTGATCACGTATTCATAAATAACACTTGTTCAGGAACTCATGGAATTTCCATTGGATCTGTCAGAAACGCGGTTGTTGAAAACATTTTTGTTAAGAATTGTACCGTAGTAAACTCTGGTACTGGTGTACGCATCAAGACAGTATTCAACACTACCGGAATTGTAAGAAATATTACGTATGAAGATATTATTCTAGAGAATATTAGAGATTACGGTATAACCATCCGTGGAGATTACGTAAATAATGGAGTAACTGGCCCTCCATTACCAGGCTTTAACATATCTGACATTACTCTCCGAAACATTCATGGTACTGTCCAAAGGCGTGGTACTAATGTTATCATTCTGTTGGCAGATGGAGTGGCATCACATTGGACGGTAGAAAATATTGATGTTCATGGAGGAGGAAGACGTCCTAACTGTACTGGAATACCCATTGACAGTGGATTGAAATGTGAGGATTATAATGGAAAATGATGTTTTTAAAATGTATTTCAATTAATGTTACGTATGTCCTTTCTATGAAAATATAAGTATAATTGTCGTTCTTACAGTTTTACATTCGCAAAACTTTGCATTAAAATTTATAGTCAGTGTATGTCACAATTAAAATGCTAGCTATGAAAAAATCTTACATATAGAAATACATCTACTTTACTGATTGTAAAGGTCCAGAGTAGTATATTGATATTGATTCTCATTCATTACTTATTCCATTTTATTCTTCTAATTCTATGGCTTAATTTTTTCTCTATTCGAACTAGAAGCAATAAAATCTCACATCAGATTCTATTACAAAATTAGACGTTTATCTCCTTGTTAGGGTAAAAGCATTGAAGCATCAGTTTTTGTATGTTGGTTACACCCGAGTAATTGTAAGTATATTACCTACCGACAGATCGCTTCGTTTAAATAGATTTCTCACTTCAAAACGAGTACCTTGGAGCCGTTCTTACTTTTTGTGCACTGTGGTTTCTTGGTAGAAGCATTTTTTGCATCAGAAGATTCTGAATACGATCCCTCTTAATACATTCTGACTGGTAATTGCTTGGAAAGTTTCGCTTCCATCATTTCTTGTACTCAACAGGAAATACTAAGAAAGACTTCGATATTCCTGCCCGAAGGATATTAAATTTGAAAGTGAATGATGGCGCAAGTATAATCATTACAGGAAAAATAGCTTACGAAATGTGATAGGCATTTCAAAATTATTAGAAAAAACTGTTTAAAAGATTTCGGCGCAGGTGGAAATTAATTAGTCTGCGTAGGAGATGGTGCGATGGTTGGAGGTAGGAGGTAATAAATGATTTTAATTAATTTTCTAATTGTCGATTTTGATAAGCATCACTTATGTCGTGCTATATTCTTATCTAAGTCCTACCTTATACTCACAGTAATTCCTCACTTTTTTATCCTACCTGAATAGAATATTAAATTAACTAAATTAAAATTTCGCTGTATTGCAAATAACACCTCACTCGATTTTATCCGAGATAATGGTCTCCCATTGTGGCTTCATCCACAGTAATGTAATAAACATTTAATTTCCTTTATAATTCAAGAACCATCATTCTGATAAGAACGTATAATCAATCGAATGACAGAATGAAGGGGTATGGATCTATCAGCGATTTTCGTGTAGGCTATCCTATCTTAAATCGACTAAAAAAAATAGATATAGGCATAGAAGAGAATAGTGAACTAATAAACTAACAATATACTATTACAATTTTAATTTAACAACTTGTACAATATACATATCCTAGAGGATTTTCAAGTATATTCATCATCATAAGACTGGTTGGACACGTACCTCCACTCTTTCCTAACCTGAGCTAAAGTTCGCATTTCCCTAAAACTAGAACAGCCCACATCCTTAACTATTTGCGAACAGTAATCTAATCTAGGTCTACCTCTACCCCTCCTAATTCCTGTTTCTGCTTCTAATATGTCTCTGACTAAACCTTCATGCCTGAGAAGGTGTCCTACCAACCTATCTCGTCTATTTCTTATTGACTTTCATAGAGTCCTCTGTTCTCTTATTCTTTCTAATACCTCTTCATTTCTAATCTTTTCTATCCACGTTATCTTCATCATTCGCCTATAACACCACATTCGAACGCTTCTAACCTTTTCTTTTCCGCCGCGCCCACTGTCCATGTTTAGCACCCGTACAATGTCGTGCTTCCAAACATACATACCTTCAACAACCTTTTTCGAATTTATAAACTAACCGTTCGCGAGCATAGAAGTGACTTCTTTTTATTAAAGGCGACACGACTCTACGCTATCCTCTGCTTTATATCCCTACTACTCCTTCCATCCTGACCTATCTGACCTCCTAGGTATCTAAAATCAGCCACTTCTTCTAGTTTTTCGTTTCCTATCTTTATATTCGCTCTTTCCCTACTTTTTCTTCCCTTGCATACCAGTATTTTAGTTTTACTTTTATTTATTTTCATACAGTACTGATCTGTCAGTACCGTTTCCATTTTATTTAAAGCTATCCCTAAGTCCTCCTTGCTAGATGCTAATACTGCTATATCATCTGCAAATCTAAGCATACTAATCTTTTGCCATTACACATCTATCCCTACAGTTGTACTGTCTTTAATGATGTTGATGTTGTTGTTTAAGTGTATTATAGATTATTTAATCTTCCTCTATGTATAAAGTAGTTTTACAATACTTTGTTGTAAGTTTAATTGTGTAAACTAAAGTTATTTAAGTTTATGCAAATATTTTTGGACCAGATTTGACAACTAGAGACGCGTTTTTCTTTACATTTACCGCCTATGCTTTCGAGAGAACGCATTAGGACGATCAGGACGACACACGGTTGGAGAAGGATTTTTGCTTATGATGCGGCAGTCCACGCGCTGTGTAATAATGAGTTGACGATAGAAACCAAGCACGTGCACAAGCCGTGAGTGGATTGTCGTTCCATGCTCCGTGTAACCGCATCTTAAGAATTTTGTTATCTTTGGAATGATACCTCACTCGACTTTTTCTAATATTTTTTAGGTTTTTTAGGGTTCTCCTCCGGTTTAGTCCTTCAAAACGCAATGTTAACAAAATCCGTTTTTAGTGTGCCTCCATGTAGCCTTAAGATTTTATTCAGATCCACCCAATCCATTCAATTGCTTCACCTGTTCGTTGATCATTGCTATACATATAGAGAGATATACAAAAATATATAATTTGCTAAAGTTATATCACAAACTCACAAAAAACTAAAAAGTGTAAAGATGTCTCTACCAGATAATTTATACGTATGTCAACTGTAATCAACTTATCAGTTCCCAAAAAAATACTGTAGAGGTATAGAATACAACTTAAATTCTTAAGGTTTACATTCAAACGTAGTTTACCTCTATTTACAATACTTATTTAAACTTCTTCGTTTACGGTTGTGATATAATAGGTGAGTTAAAATAATCTATTTACGTATGCAGCTGAATCTATATTGCAAATTATATTACACGATTGGCCAAATCTCTTTTGACAAGAAATAGAACAACAAACAAAGAAAATAATGAACTATTTTAATGGATTAAAAAATTTAATTATGATTAAAGCAACGATAACTAAATTTAACTGCAAATTTTATTCAATTAAGAGTAAATATACTCATTTTGAGCTAAATGCATGTGCAGTGTAGTGCACCCAACTAACGAAACTTTGTTCTTCTTGGAAATCTTAAACTAATGCAATATCAAACTAAAATCTATCTAACAAAAATAATGAGGCGTTGAAGGAATACGTACCTAATAAATTAATGCTATTAAGTGAATTCTTCAGAACAGCTATACCACAAGGTGTTTTATTAAAAGCAAATTATTGCTTCTACAAAACTAATTATTCCAAAATAAATTGTAAAACTAAACGTATTTCGAAGTAGGATTTTGATTATTACTTATGGCGTAAATTCGCGAATTTTGTATTTGGCGCAATACGCTTCGTATGCTACACAATTTACATCAGGTTATCCTAATTGGAATTCATTTTCCAGAAACCATACATTACTAAATTCAGAATGAAACCGTTCGAATTAGTCGTGATTTGTATTCTACTAGTGAGTACATCTTGGGCAGCTGAAAATTACGACGACATACCCGCTGATTGTACTCTAACTGGTAATTCCTTGGATCCTCTAGATTCAATAGTATCCAATTGTACAGAGATTTTGGTAAAGGATTTCGAAGTGCCTGCTGGTCGTAATTTAACCATAGAACCACAAGATGGTACCACAATAGTATTTTCAGGACGCATTACTATTGGTTACAAAGAAATGAGGGGGTCCCTTATTATAATTAGGGGCAACAATTTGACAGTTATCGGAGCTCCAGGACATATTTTCGATTGTGATGGAGCCAGATGGTGGGATGGACTTGGCGGAGGGGGTGGAAAACTAAAACCAAAATTCTTTAGGATTCAAAACGTCACTAATTCAATTTTTAAAGACCTAAATATTAAAAATACGCCCACCCAGTGCTTCTCAATTAACGGCTGCCAGAATGTGACCTTAACAAATATCACCATAGATGATTCGGATGGTGATAAACAAGGAGGTCACAACACTGATGCTTTTGACACGTCATCATCGAAAAGGGTTACAATAATGAATTCTCGTATTTTTAATCAAGATGATTGCCTTGCTGTCAATTCCGGAAGTGATCACGTATTCATAAATAACACTTGCTCAGGAACTCACGGAATTTCCATTGGGTCTGTCAGAAACGCGGTTGTTGAAAACATTTTTGTTAAGAATTGTACCGTAGTAAACTCTGGTACTGGTGTACGCATCAAGACAGTATTCAACACTACCGGAATTGTAAGAAATATTACGTATGAAGATATTACTCTAAAGAATATTAGAGATTTCGGTATAACCATCCGTGGCGATTACGTAAATAATGGAACAACTGGCCCTCCATTACCAGGCTTTAACATATCTGACATTACCCTCCGAAATATTCATGGTAGTGTCGAAAGCCGTGGTACCAATGTTTTCGTCCTGTTGGCGGATGGAGTGGCATCACATTGGACGGTAGAAAGTATTGATGTTCATGGAGGACGTAGACGACCTAACTGTACTGGAATACCAATTGACAGTGGATTGAAATGTGAAGATTATAATGGAAAATGATGTTTTTAAAAATGTATTTGAATTAATGTTACGTATGTCCTTTTTATGAAAATATACGTATAATTGTCGTTATTACAGTTTTATAAATTGTAATTTGCGCTATGTAAAATATTTATACCACTATTAAAAGTCCTAATCACGAGAATATTACTTAGATAATGTGCTGATAATTCGAGGACTATAAAGTTGAATAATTTAACAAGAACACAACATATTGGAACGTTGATATCAGGATGAATGTAATGTGAACATGATTGCGAATCACTCCTTGACAGAGACTGAATTTAAAATAGAAAAAATGGTATCTACATGCGTACTGTCGATGCCGGTTGTAGGATGGTGGAGTGTATTATGAGGGTTTGGAGAAATAACTTGACCACTTCGTTTTTATTACGTTA